CAAATCAATCATTAACCCATAAAGGAAGGATTAAGCTTTTGTAGCCTAAATGGAGCCAAAAGTGGTGATTGAAAAAGTAGCAAAGCGATACATATTGCCATAAAGTATGGCCAAAGCAGACAATAATGGAAAGCTATCTGGAATTTCCAAAATACAGTGGGAACCACATTGAACCGCAGAACATCATAAACAAGAATTCTAATCACCCTAGGTTTCATAAGATAAAGAAATAATGACAGTTAAATTTTCCCACAATTATATGGGTGGGCCTCACATTTCCACTGAATTTCATCTAGTCTTGCTTCCAGAAAGGTATTCTCAGCCAGGCTGGAATGGACTGAAGTTTAGATGCATACTAGGTTTCATCAGCAGTCTCAGCGGAAATCGAGTCAGTATAATGCAGCGTATAATGTCGACATTATTCTCGCTAAGGGTGCTAATGAAATTTAGAGATAATGGAAACGGCAGTCTAGTCTGAGTGAGAATATGTTCTGAGAAGCAAAGCATGGAAACAGGTGAAATTCAATGGAGATATGAGGCCTACTCTCTTTAAAGCGTAAACAATCGACTAGTAGTCCTTCATTACCTTAAGCAAGTTACGATAACAAGAACTCTAATTCAAGATCTACTACGAATATAAGTAGCGTAATGGACTGTAATAGAAAATACAAGTGCTTCGCTGACAACCCCACTACATAAGTATGATATGGAGAAATGGCCTTACTTGACATTAAAGTCTGCTCTGTGGCCCAGAAAAACACAAGGCTATATAACGTGGTGGCAACGTGCTTAAAGTATACGTTCGATTCTGACTAAGAAAGCTGATGAGACCCAGGAGAGTACAAAATTGCCGTTCACTCCTGCCTGGATAAGAATGCCTTTTGGAAAATAATGCTATGTGAAAGTCACTGGAAATGTGAGGCTTACTTATATGATTGTTGGAAAATTCAACTATTAACCCTTCCTCATCCTAAGCGATCTAGAGCGACTAGAGCTCTTAGCCAAGATTTAATGTGGTCTCAAAAAGCTATTTTATCTAAATATCGCAGGAAATCAACGGAGCCCAAGAAGCTATCTCTACACGAGAACAGTCTGACAAGAAGAGAGCACCTATCATCAGTTTATTCGTAAAAATCCCAATACGAATGATAAATGCAACACGATAGAGAAAACTAATCAGTATGCCCAGGGTACAGGTGTCAGATTGCTTGACCAATTTCATAGATCTAGCTGGGTTGCACGTTTGCAAGAGTAAATTGAGTGAATCTCGACATAGATTCTTGATACCTTCAATTCTACCTCTTCTCATTATTTAAGTATGCAATACGATATAGCAAAATAGGGAATGAAATAATAAAAGCCAAATTGAGAGGAATCCCTTAAAACGAATAAAAAGTATAATGAAAGAAATCAGTAAATTGCCGTAAATTTATGTGAAGTCCTTAACGCATAGATATGCAACCCCAATAGATTCGTGCTAAGATTAAGTCTATCCCAATCATAAAGTTGCCCCTAGAGTCCTTTGCTCAATGCAACGGCCAGAATTGAACGGCATTCCTTACTCAGTTTTGGGTGGGAAAAATTTACGAGACCCTTTAATACTACTTTTATACGAAGTGAGACCAACTATAGTTTGCAGGCATGGAATAGGATAAGCTACTTCTAAATTATCATAAGTTTATTTACAACATTGAACTTAAATCCTATCAATTTCTTGGTGGAAAAATTAAACGTGAGTTCACTAGCTAAAGTAGATTAACAAAGGGCAAAGTAGCATTAACTGGAGTAGACGTCAAAGTGTAAAATGAATAAATCAATAACACATGCAAACTTATAGAGAAAAAAAAACAAAAGTATGGGACAATGTATCAGTGTGATGCTCCGAAGCAATGGACAATACTTCAATTGTACGAGGATGGTATTAAGGTGAAATTTGAAAATATTCAATCCACTGGCATACCCTTCATCTCGTTGAAGGAGGTAAGTGAAAACGACTCGCAACTTCGCCATATCGAATACAGAAGGTGGATTACCCGGTGCTTGTGACTGTTGGATTGTGCGAACAAGACCTCAGCTAACCGTTCTGAGGCCCCGATGAATCCGTGCTGGGCTTTCGTTCGTCAGGCGAAGGACACCATGAGAGCCAGAAACCATCATTTACGAGCAATCCCCAAAAACACGATACAGGAAAGGTGGCTAGCGGAAATCCTACTTACGATCTTAATGAAGCATCACCTGATTTGTTTGGCTACTTTGTGCTTGCATGAAAAGGGATCAAATGTAGTCACAGCTTTAATATATGCAAATAAACTAGCATATGGTTCCACAATATTAAGGATTGTTTTAGGTTGGTGTGTGCTTGCTCCAAACATATTTTGGTGCTTTTTCGTAAGCGGCTGTTTCTGGTTCTGACGATGTCTGCATATCACAGACGAAAGCTGAGCACGTATTCTTCGGGGTCGCAGGGCGGCAAGCCGAGGCCTTGTTCATCTAATTCAACATTCACAAGTCCAAGGCAATCCGCCTTCGATATCCGGTCAGGCCAATTTACGAATCCTTTCCAGCTGCCCTTACAAAGCAAAGGAAAGATATACCAGCATTAATATATTGAGGGATTTTCAGAAACGCAGCATCTTTTTATATAGAGAAATGTCTTGGAGCTGTGGTTGTAGATCAGATTAATCGAGTTTGCGGGACACTGAGCCGAAAGATTATTCGCATCAATTTACAGCCACAGATCCTCGAACAGGCAATCCCCCTTATACCTCTGGTTAGGCCAATTTAGAAGTCCCTTTCACTGGCCTCTCTAATATCAACTTCGAAACCCAGCAATTATTCGACGTTTAGCCTCTTGTAGATACGAAGAGAGGCTGGGTTCATATTAATCTCTTAATATAGCATTGTTCCGAGGACTTTCATTTCATACGAAGTTGCATGATGAAGAGATTCAAAGAGGGCAGCCAATTTCAGTCGTTTGGCTGTAATAAGACGTTCAGGTTGGTGCAGTCCACAAAACATCCTCCATCTTTAGGCTTTTGTAATTATTTTGATTTAGGATCGGTTTGGCATACAGACGTTAAAACACATAAGCATATACAAAAAGACGGACACACCTAGTTAAGAGTATCTTATACGAAGAAAAATTTGGTTTAGAATGATTTCTTCCTTCACAACTGTTGAGCTCACTTTCATCTCGAGTGAATATGTTTTGTGATGAGATTCGAAGGTCAATTTAATCAGAATAGAACGGCGGATTCCTATTTACCAGCTGCCAATTGGCTTCACTAAAGCATTCTTGTTTATGCTGTTTCAGAAGCAAGCTACATCAAATCTGGTGAAAACGTGCTAAGCACATACACACTCATACATACAGATACACTCACATGCTTCGAGGTTGACATGACTTGAGCTAATCAAATAAAGTAATATCTCATCAAAGAGTTTAGATATAGGTTATATGTACAGCATTTAGGAATGAGCCGATGAGTTTCCTTGGCTCGTTAGCATGAATATGCTTGTAAAGGTGATACATTCCTCTGATGATGTCCACATTATGGCAGACGGAAGCTTAGCACTTTTTTTTACCGAAAGAAATTGCCTCGGAAACAGCGTCAACAAGAATGTTCCAGTAAAGTCAATCGAAGGCCGGTCAAAAGTAATCCATCGTCGTCTTCTGGTCTCTTTCGAATCCCGTTACCAAACACTTTTACTCAAGTTGGAAGTGATTTCAATAAAAGTATAATGAATAATATGAAGAAAACTGAACAAATCATTCTATATCCATCTATCTCCACCTATATTTTATCGTTTTTAGTTATGGGTATATATAGGATGTAGGATAGAGCTAGACAACCCTCTTAGCTGGGATGATGTCCATCAAATGATAAAGTAAAGCTATGCACAATTTCACCCTAAACAGGGAGGATGTCTTGGAGACTGCGTCAAAGTGAACGTCGAATGAGGACTAATCGACTGTCTACAACGGGGCTCTGCCGTTGTCTTCCGGTGAGATTAATTAACGAACCTCTTTATCATGCACTTTTTTACGGAACGAAAGTCTCCCCAACAATCCATCCCCTTGCCTGAGACCCAAGATAAATCGTCTCGTGAACAGATGTATTGGACCCACAAGCAAGCCAGCAATGATTATGCAGACACCGAGATGCCTAATTGCTAAGCCCTGGAATCGAACTGTCCGGGACGACACTAAAGTTGTCCACCGGTCAAGGTGGAGGGAAAAAGACTCGATGGGCAATGCTGGCGCTTCAGCCCAGTTGATTAAACGGCAAGGAGACAACTGTTTCGGATTACCGCTTGAGGTGAGGCGAGGCGAAGTGAGGCATGGCGTTGATACCATCCTTGGGCACAGGAGCTGTTGAGTCGGTATGGCATACAGCTAAGCTCGAACAGCACAGAGACCACAAACTAGACAGAAACACATTCACACACATGCACACACAAAGTCATACAGGCATACACATAGACACAATGGTAAGGCGAGATTGGCCAATTGTACCATGCGACGAGTTGTGGGGATGTATGAGTCAGTAGGCGGAGTGCGAAAGGGCTTCTAAGTGGGATAGGATGAAGCGAAGAGGGCAAGACCGTGAATGAGTGGGTTGCAAGAGTAGCATGGGACAAGGAAAGGAAGTGAGGCAAGAAGACGACATCAGTTGACAGACTCTGTATATTTATGCAACTGTAGGCGTGCTGGCGAGACTGTGCAATTACGCCTGTCCGTCCGAGGGCCGACATGCCGACAACGATAGAAGGGACTCAAGGAGGGATCGATCCGTCCGATTTCTGGTAGGGCCGACGGCGAGTGCTGTCCACGCCCGACAGAAGCGCTGCATACAGGAGTCTGACGGAGAGAGTAACCAATCAGCCTGAGACCGCAAATGTGACCCTAGGAAAAGTCGGCCTGACCAAAGGGTGCTCACATGATTACGCCGGCCGGCAGGCCTGCCTGCCTGCCTGCATTGTTGTTAGGCCGTGGGGAAAGATAAGGCAGATGCCCAAAAAGGGGCCTTGTCCAGGTCACGAGTCCCACTTCCAGCAATCCGCACACCTTGGTCAGTTCGCTTAGTATTATTCCAATTAACAGTGCTCAACACAGTTAACGAACAGCCCCGAGTACTTGTCCATAGGCAAAAAAATTCCCAGCATCCGTAATCTCAGCATAAGCCCATACGTAGCGAGAGATAAATAAATTCACACAGACAGAAGAACAAACATGCGAATGGGTATAGGCAAAAAATCATTGGCAAAATGATGTGACTTGAGTCTTTAAATTCATGAAAATCAAACTGCGCAGGCTTTTTGAATTAGCCTCTGACCCCTCAAACCCTCTGTTCGAATCCCTTTTGAGATAGTTGATAAGAGGTTAAGGCAAATTCCAAAGAGTAGTCAATCTCGACAAAAAGACTTTTTGGGATAAAGGGCAAAAAAACAAGCAGTTTCCTCAAGTATATTAAAGAAGCCAGATTTCAAAAAGTCCCGTAAATAATTACGTATAAATTGATATTCGATTTTGAGGTAAAATTCAGCGGAAAGGAATTCATAAATTGTGAGATGCTTCAGTGAGTAAAAAATTAGGTAGGACTAAAACCGTTCACTTTTACTTCTGAATGAAGTTTTCCTAGTGAATGGCTTCGTGATCTGAAGATTTATGTTAAAGTAAGATGGACAGATATCTATTGGTCGCAGAACTGTCACGACCCCAAGGCATTCAATAACTAAAGACATGAAGAAAACCTGGGTTTCGAAGAATTCCATAGTGTTATATTATGACATGACTTTCCATTTCAAAGGAATTCATGATGTGGTCTCACCGGAAACCGAAGGAACATTTCGGCAAGTATGGAGAGCAAGTATAAGGTAGCTTAACAAATCACAGGACGCCGAATTAAGCTCGTAAGGCTATGTGTATAACAGAGGGACTAGGGTTACAGCCGGCTACCTTTTCTCTTGGTTTACCATATTTTTACTCTATTTCGTAAATTATGGATTCGTGCTCTGATGATGTCTGTCACGGTGGTACAGACGCAAACATAACACAGGCTTATCGGGGTCACAGGAAGATAAGTCGAGGACTTCTTCGCGCAATACAATAATCTTTCCTACGCGGCAATCCTACTTTGGTTTCCGGTGAGACCATATCACGAATTCCGTCCAACTCACTTTTCCTTCGAAATGGAAAGTCATGTCACAATTCATCAATTGATTTCCGGCGAGACCAATTTGTAAATCCCATATAGACAACGTGTATTCTAAAAGGCAATATTAGTATATGAAAATTTGTTTCGACAGACCCGCTGTTAGCCTTTGAATAGGAACATTTATTTCCCATAAGAGTTGAGTGTATTTTTACATTTGCCTTATCAAAAACTGAAAGAATATTTTGCAGTTAGGGCAATAAACGTGAGTTAAACCGTACAATAACCATGATCCATCTGCTCAACAATCACCCGCCTTGATTGTAAGAGTTTGAAACCATTCTATAACAAAATGTACCAAATGGCATATCTTTCTAGTTGAATTTCTTAGAGAATATTTTCTTTTCTTACGAAGTCTATCATAATAGGAAAGACAAGAGCTCAACAAGAATATGTCAGGGTCGCATGATGATGTGACAAGAACTTCTTCGTTTAAATATGCAACCAAATCAATAGGGCCATATATCTTCGCCTTCAAGAGGAGACAATGTAAGAATACACTTAATTCAACTTTTCGTACGGAATGAAGGATCCAATTGCATTAAACTATAAAGGGATTCTTAGAATTTCCGCTTCTATTCGAGTCATTATTAGGCCGGTCGAAAAAGAAATACATAAACAATATCAGACATGATGGCTTCAAAGCAAGAACTCCAAATGGTATTAATTTGCTCATCCTGCCAGGTCGACTTCGGAGAAAGTGCCCCTTTCCAGCGGCCTGTGTCATAGTTGTCAATATCGGACAGTGAACTTGTTACATTAAGAATTATGATGACCTTAAGTCTATAAAGTGATTAAGCAATTATGGTTCCAATGACTATTTTGTATGAATATAAGTGACGTATTCAGATGTAATGGTAAAATTCAAGTTTGCATAAAACTGGTTTTTGAAGCATCTCTTAATAGATTGATGCTAAAGTACATTTTGTTTGAAGATACGAGTGGAAGGGATTCGTAAGTTGGCCTCATCGGAAGCTGAAGGAGGATTGATTCGAAGCTGTGGCTGTAGATTTATGAGAATAAATTATCAGCGCACCGCTTTGCGAATTCGGTGAATCCTTGCTGAGCTTTCGTCCGTCACGTGACGGACATCGTCAAAGCATGAAAACGGGAGGGTGAGAAAAGAACTCATTTGTATAAATCTAGAATCTCAGATCCAAGGCAATCCTCCTTCGGCTTCCGGTAAGGCTAACTTAAGAATCCCTTCCACTAAAATTTTAAAATGATATCAAAGGTAGTCAAACATAAAAATATAATGAGATGTATTCACTCTATTTCGTGTAAGGTGATGAAGGACTGGTAGTAGAATTTTCCCACAA